CAAAAGCGACTCATCTAAGATGGAGTTTCGTACCTTGCAAGACAGGAAGATAGCTGAATTTTGAGAACTAATACAATGGAGAGCAGATGCTGGGAACAGATCACAGATGAGATGGATTTTGCCGCTTCTGGATCAAAAGCAGTTTCAGTTTCAGTTTCCATTAGGCACACCGAACACCTAGTTATTTAACTTACCTGTTAAAGGTAGCGTTACTAAAAAAGTTTATAAGACAACCTAAAGGACTAGATCAAGCTTGACTATAGAGGAATGAAATATGTACTTTTCTCAGGCTACGATAATCTTTCCTATTGGTGAGCTTGATATAAAAATGCTAATTGGATCTCTTATATTCAACCAGAACTCAACTTTTCAACAACAAGTCTCTATCTCGTGTTCATAAATCCAACCATCTATGGTACACTTTATCCTATTGGTGCATATTATAGTATAATAATTATACTATTAAGTGTTCTCCTAACTTTTGCTGGTAATTAACCTTGACAAACACAAAGCATGCAAATCTTTCTCCATAAATATTCATTTGTAATTCGCTCTGACCAGAATCTGACACAATTAACATGGGCACGGAAAAATCTAGATTCAATTATTGGATAATTGTTTAGTTGAATTGTTAACCGGATCGAAACCATTTCATTCTCCTTTTTTTTTATTTATTGCTACATATAAATTATTTGCATATTACGCACAGATCAAGATCATTGCCATTGTTTTACAAATTTTCATTGACGTTTTTTTTCCTGTTTGTTGTTTGTTTTTCTATCAGTTTTTTTTTGTGTGTATGAGGTTATGCAAAGTCATCTTCCCATCGTTGGTCTGATTCTAAGAAAAGCCGCATTTGTTATTGTTTTATTTTTATGCGTTAACAATTGGAACAAGGTGAGATAAATCAGAATATTCTAGTTGGATGAGGTAAAATATGTTTATTTTTGCGCATTTAACGGTTGAAAAAAATAAACTTTCGCGACTCTAGTGCAAAAAGAATGAAATCATAATAGTCTTGAAACAACGAAAATCGGAAAGAACAAAATAAACATCAACGCTTGCCTTGCTCTCTCTTTCTCCGTTCTCCTAGGCTTTAGACTTTGGATAAACACATTTTGATTATCCAAAAACAAAATAAACGCCTTTTAATTGCAAGATGCTCGGTTTTAATGACGTTTTATTTCGCCCTAATGTTTTATTAATTAATTAATTACTATGGGATGATATAATATATAATAATGTCAGAAAATTTTATCTTAACACATAATGAAATTAAGCAATTAAAAAATGACCTTATATTGAATCTAGGCAACCTAATGGAAACTTATTGGAGTGAGCAGTGAGCTAAAATCTGAGAGAGGTGACAACCATAAAGATTCTCAAATCTCAGAAGTCAAAGATAAGCTAGAACGTTTATCAAAATTGAATTCATAGGCATACAAATCCTGGATTATACACTAATAATTCAGACATGAAACTAGTACAAATAGTACAATAACAAAACTGCTAAAAGACTTCAAAGAAAATTGAAAATTTAGAAAAAATACAAAAGCCTGAAATGGATAAAAGGTGGGAAAAAATTACTTTCATATTCCCAGTGGTTGAACTCTTATTTTGCATTAGGTAGTTTGGGTTAGTAGAGTGCTATTTTTGTCGTGACTCTTGTGTTATTGTACAATAAACTTTAATTTTTAGGCCTATTAGTGTAAACATTCCTTTAGCTCCCAAACTAAATCTTTTCCATTAATTTGCCATTGTTAAGTTACAATTATAAATAACACAAAATCTCTTTATTACAAATTACAATCTAATAACTTCAACAAAGGTGTTAGTCATCTAACAATCCCGACTTATTGTTATTAACATTTTTTTGCACTTTCGAAATCGCAAATATAGTAAAACACCATAAAAAAAAACAATCGCGCTATTGAAAATGTTGCTGCAAAAAGGATTGCCGCAATAAAAAGCCGATTAAAGGTTAATTTACATGATTTGTTTGATCCCACCAGGCTCGGGCCGGCGAGTGCTCTTTCAGGATGAATTTATCAACAGTTATAATGACGGTTTTTTTTATTATTGTTTTGTTTTTGTGATACTAAACTTGACACTCGATTTTTTGATGTTATTTATTTGTTAAAAAGGTACAACAGGTTTTATTTTATCGTAGGCGTCATAATATGTGAAACCAACATAGTTAAACTTTACATTAGATGGAAATAATTTTTAATGTGAGACTTGTGTAAGCACCTGCGAAAAAGAGTCACAATGTAGGTACCTACTAGACGAAAATGTACTTCTGCAATTTTCTTCTTGTGGTTTCGTGGTCATATCTCTTACAACTTGTTTCAAAATACTGTGCTGGATAGCACCAGCAAACCTATTTTCACGATTTAATATCTATGTATCTATTCAGCCTTCTTCTGTCCATCTTTGGACGTAGGCCTCCTCCATTCCTCTCTGTCTGTTGCCATGTTCATCCACCTGATTCCAGCGTGCTTCTTCAGGTCATCAGCATACCTCATCTGGGGTCTTCCTCTACTTCTTTTATTCTCCCAAGGTTTTCATCTTGAAATACATTTATTCCATCGGTCGTCTTTTGGTCTGATATTGTGACATGCGAATTTCCATTTTAATTTAGCTAAAACCTTTCTAACGTCTCTTATTCTCGTTTTATTTCTTATCCACTTGTTCCTCTTTTTATCTATCAGTTTCACATGTAACATTTGTCTTTCCATTGATCTTCGTGCTTTTGATATTTTATCCATGTTTGACTTTGTAAGTGTCCATGTTTGGTATCCATAGGTGAGGACAGGAAGTACTTATACATTGATTATACACTTTGGTTTTGAGGTATTGTGGATATTTTCTATTTTTCAAGATGTAGCTTGATTTGCCGAATCCTGCCCAAGCTAATCTAACTCGTCTCTTGATTTCTGCTATTTTGTTTTTTTGGTTGTTGAGTTTAATAATTTGATATTCATCGACTTGTTCTATTTTTTCTTGTCCTATTCTGATTGTAATGTCATCGTCTGTGTTCGTAAGTGTTTTAGTTTTAGCGTAGTTGATATTGAGACCTATGTTTTTAGCTGCTGTGTCAAGTTCTTCCAGCATTTCCGTCAGTTCTTCTTCAAATTACATTAAGGAGTGTTATAGGTCGATAGTTTTTCAAGTCTGTTCTATCACCTTTCTTATGAAGGATGATGGTTATGAATTCATTCCAGTTGTTTGGGATTTTCTTTTCTTTCAGTATTTTATTTAGGCGGGTATGGAGAGTATTGATAACTGTTTTTCCACCCTATTTTAGCATTTCTGCCGTGACTCCGTCTTTTCCAGGTGCTTTGCTGTTTTTCATTTCTTTCAGAGCTCTCTTTATTTCCGATTTGCCTATTTTGGGTTGTAGTTCTGAGTTTACATTCTTGATTTTAGTTTGTAGTTGTTTTACGATTTCTTTCGGTGGTTCCTTTTTTGTTTGAGCTCTGTATAAAAGAGTTGTGTGATATTTATGATATCCTCCTCAATATTAGTTTCTACGCCGTTCTTGTCTTTTATTTTATTTATTTCATATCTTCCTAGTGTCGGTCTGAAGCATTTCATATTCCTGTTGTTCTCTATGACTCTTTCTATTTCTATTTTTTGGTTCTTCCTTTTGTTTCCTTTTATCATTTTCCTGATGGTCTTATAGGTTTCTGTGTATTCTATCGATTTCCTTTTCCCTTCTTCCTTCAGCTTCCGCCTTCTTTCCATAAGTTTCTTTATCTCTTCTGATATGCAATCTTCCTCCTTTTTATCTTTTTGTGCGATTTTTTTTTCTACCCTAACCATGGTTTCCGCTAATGTATCGTACATTTTATCTATAACTAGCTAATGACCCGCTGCGTTGCCAGCATGTAAATACATTTTGAAATAATACTTACACTTCTTTTCAAATTTTGTTGTTGATTTTCTATTTAATTTTTTTTTAAATCCGATATCAGAGTCGCTTGCCAGTGAGTTCAGTGACGCATTTTAAGCACTCCAGAGCTGCTCTAGAGCGCCCCGGGCTGTTTATAGGCGTTCCAGTGTATCAGAGTTTTACGCAACCGAACTTTTTTTTCGGGATAAAAAATAGCCTATATCACTCTCCGGATTAGATCGATCTGGTTCAATTTAAATGAACTACACTGTGTTCGATTCAAGCTGGATCAGTGCACCCTCATCAACAAAAAAATGATCTAGATCAGAAGAAGTTCACTTAAATTGAACCCAAATCGATCTAATCTGGGTCAATCGAATTCACCTTATATAGAGATACGTGGTATTAATTCAAGATCGGTCCAGCCGTTCTTGAATTCAAAAAATGATAAAGTTACGTCGGTTGAATGCAAGCCTAAATAAATTAAATATGTCAACGTTATTTCATGCTGTCAAAAAAAGTTGGGTTATGTTGTTATGTAATGTGAATGAGTTTGTTTACAATTAAATTAATAATTAATTCAAAATTAATTTCTTTTTCCGAGATGCGTAACCTATCCACAAACCTTCCTTGGGATGGCCATAATAACCTACCAAAGTTTCATCGTAATCGGATAAGTGGTTTTAAAGCGCATATCCGGATACCCCGTGAACTTTGATTTTTATATATATAGATATTTCCATTGTCGTTGTTCAAGTTGTGGGTCAGTTGTTCCTTCAGTCTCTCTTTGTATATGGTTTTACTTTGTGCCAATTTGGTCATGTCTAGTTGTCCCTTGTTTCCATTAGTTTTTCTTTTCATTTCAAAGTTGCCATCGATACCTATAAATCCTATTCCAAAGTTACTGTTGTCTTCGTTACTTTTGTAGTATAGCAGGTTACCGGAGTTCAATTTTATTCGATTTTCTGTTTTTCTTCGAGTTTCTGACAAGCCTACTATGTCCCACTTTATTCTTGTCAGCTCTTCCTCCAGTTTTAATAATATTTACACGATTTATTAATATACACAAAATATCTGAAAACTAAACAATACTTTTTTTTTCTAGATGTCGACACCCCGGTTGCCAGAAGGCCTTTTCCCAACTCAGCAATCTTCAGTCGCATTCCAGGTGTCACCAGACCGACAAACCGTACAAATGCAACTCCTGCTACAAATGCTTCAGCGACGAGCCGTCGCTATTGGAACATATACCGAAGCACAAAGAAAGCAAGCACCTGAAGACGCACATTTGTCAGTATTGCGGAAAAAGCTATACCCAGGAGACTTACTTGCAAAAGCACATGCAGAAACACGCTGAAAGGACGGATAAGAGGCCGCCAATAGGACCTGGATTAGGTAAGAACTCACTTTGATAAATTATCATTCTTTCAAAGAAATTATAATGGAAGTTGTTCATTGTTCGTCATTAAATACTAGACTTTTATTATTAAGTCAATGAGAATTTTTATTAGAGGGTTAAGTAATTTGAATCAATTATCTGCTGAAACCATTGAGTTCTGAGTGTAAAATTGTTACTATTTACAATAGAAATCATCTGGCAAAGTTGCTATTGAAATTATAATTATTTCAGGTAATTTAAAACTTATCGCTGTAGTCTGTAATAATTTTATTAAATGTTCCTCTTCTTCTCCTTCTTCTTTGGCATATTATCATCCATTTTTATCACTATGTATAGGTATCTACCAATTCTCAAAAGTCTCGTATGTAATCCTGCAGTTATTTTGAGGTCGTCGATTCATTTCATTCACGGACTGCTGTTGATCAATATAGTCTTAATTGCATTAGTTCTGAGTTCCATCTCTGTTCTTTTCAAGCTAATTCTCGCTCTTACTCAAGTGTTTCTCTTTCTGTCAAACAGGCAATATGTGTATATGTATGTTGGAGATGTCAGTTGCACCGCAACCAAGGTTGATCTATAGTGCCCCTCCTTCTGCTGCTAAGTTCGGGTTTCCCGTTCAAAGCAGCCCCTCCAATCCTAATTCCCTTTTTTATTTTAGGGTGTCTAACGGTTCCAGGGCTGGAATGTCTTCCAACCTATAAGGGCACTTCCCAGGATCTTCATCCTTGAGTGACTGTGTGTGTCTCTTCTTCCTCTTCATAGAATCTGTAAGAGCCACCTTCTTCTGACCCCAACTTCTGTAGGTGTTTCTTAAGTCTGCAATGTCCCGAGAGAAACCCAGTTGCGATTTTACTAAATATAAACTATTACAGCACAAGACACGCCCCCAACTTCTTCATCGCAAAATATAATCGCTCTCAGCGCGATTTTAATAAATATAAACTATTAGAGCACAAGAGACGCTAGCCCTTGACGTCATTGCAAAATATAATCGCGCTCAGCACATTCCTGCAAACTCCAATCGTTTGTAGCATGACGTGGCAGATCCAACCTCAAGTCTTCAAATTGTACTTGTTAGAAGTTAATAATTATTGTTAGTGTTGTGTGTTTCCATTATGGATAATTTAATTCAACTTATTATTCCATTGTGTAACAATGAAAATGTTAATAGGTATGTTTGTGCAGAAATCACAAACCAGTCAGAGCGAATTTGATTGGTTGAAAGCAGTCAGAAAACTAGTTTCAACCAATGAAAAAAATGATTTCTGCAGAAACAGACCTAATATAATCGAGCATGAAAATCAAAACAATTACAACATACCCCGCTTAAAGTTAAAAGGGGAATCTGACGAAGAGTGCGATTCCGACGACTTCAACTTGCGTTGCAATGAGTGGGAGAATGAATTTTCAATAATAACAAAGACACAATGGATACCTAGTGAAAAAAACTTCGCCAAAACTGCATAGATTATTGTTTCGTAAACAATACGTGTGCCGTATGCCATCACAGCAGCACTTTTTCAATCGATTTATTTATATTGAATCAGCCACGTTGTGCTGTTAACGATTAGATTTTGCAGGATTGTGATGAGCGCGATTATATTTTGCAATGCTAGCGTCTCTTGTGCTCTAATAGTTTATATTTAGTAAAATCGCGCTGAGGCCGATTATATTTTGCAATGACGAAGTTGAGGGCGTCTCTTTTCTTGCTAAGGCAGACCAGCAGTTTTGATCTTTTTTGGTTGAAGTTGCCCAATAGATCTTTGGCCTGCCGTAGTCCTTGCTGTTCTGCCAAGGTGCATTTTCCTTTGTAGACCTATCTTCTCTAGTCTGATACATGATCAACTGGCAATCCGCTTCACTATTATGTGGAGTGGTGTGAATTTTGACTTGAAATAACACTACACCAAAACTATTTTATATTATTTACCAAACAAATAAATTATATTACCAGAAGAAGCTATTTTTTTTTCATTGTCCATGTAAGATCATGTTTTTATTGTACCTATCCATTCCAGGTTTAAATCATCGAGGTTTAGAACATCATTACTGGCCGAAAGTATCACCAGACAGCGCAGAAAACATGCACGACTACCCCAACGACCTTCCGCGAGGCTTACTAGAACAAAACGACGACCTCGTCATCATCAGGCAACAGCTGAGCAACCAGAACGCTTCGGCGCCGCCTGGAACACCTAACGCTCACCTAGGCAACTCCTACGACACCTCCATAAGCAAAAGTAACACCAACTCAGCTTTCACGCCCATCAACTCGATGTCGGGCCATTTGAACCCGTTGAATCACCAGCTGGCGCCCAACCGGCCGTACATCTACGACGCGCTGTCGTTTCCTAAGCAAAATAGCTTAGACATTCCTAAGAGTCAGCCTAGCAATGGATTTCCTAATCAGCTAATTTCGTTGCACCAAATTAGGAGCTACGCCAACCAACCGAATTCTAGCTTAATGGAACATTCCATATTGGGAGGTTTGAAAGATAAATAAATTGTTAGGTTAGACAGAAAAAAAATTAGGGGTGGTAGTTTTGAGGGAGGAATTATAAGAAGTTTATGATCTCATTATGAAGTAGTTTAAGAATTATTATTTTAAATCAAGCCATTTACTCACTATGAGCACAACAAGTGATTTTCTTTTAATTTAAAAAGATTGATTACCACTTTTAACGCTCAAACATCATAAATAACTAATTTCTCACGCTTCAAAATCAACAAATAATTACCCTTATTGCAGGCATCGGGTATTTAAAGTTAAGGTTGCCTATGATGAGCGACTACCGTTCAAGTTGTGTGTGCAGCAATTAAAATCAAATTCCCGCAAAATTCTAGATTAATTGGCGGTTTGACATTGGATGGTGGTGTTAATGTTGCTCTTTATTTTTTTCTTTATAATTACGTCATTTTGTGGCAAAGTATCAAGGTAAGTGGCTCTGTGTGGGATCCTTGACATTGCCTCATTTACGATGTTGATGGAAATTTGCAATTGGTTGAAGGCATAGGAAAGCGAGAGTTAGCTTTAATGAAAACTGATGGTAATTGTTTGAATACAAATTTTCGCAGGTTGTTTTTCTATATTGGATAAATAAATCAACAACTTTATTAATTGGAATTGATGAAGTGAGAGATATAGTAGTGTAGCTTACTTTTTTCAATCATAGATTTCAACTTCATTATATACATAGCAATGTTACATACAGCAACAGGTTACATTATTTTTGGTACATGATTTTCTTGAACTTTTCAAAGTTTCATATTCTTTCACATCATTTCATAACTTGTAATACCTAGAAACTATTCTGGCTCAACCTATTTGTCCACAAACCAGAGCGTGAGTATTTGAGTATTCCGTTGTTCCATATTAAACATTTTAGATGATTCTAGAAACTATACAAATTTTTAATATATGAAGCGCGTAGTTTGTAAGTTAGTTGATGTAGATAGGAGAATTGCGGTATAAACTTAAGTAAAAGCGATGAGTGGCCAATAAATTTCATGAAGTCAACTTGATTCAATAAAAGTTGGTACCTACCTACTGTGAGTGTCAGTGTCAGTCAGTGGCAATTTGATGTCGGAAGTGGTATTCGAATCCACGACTACGTAAGTGATGGACTATGATCTTATATCAAATCGGGTGACAATTTCCTTCACAAAGTCATCAATTTTATCATTAAGAACAGATATATTTGTATCATTAAGATATCCCTTGTCATGTTCGGTTCCATCTTCATCAGAATCATCCATTTGCAATGTCCCGTTGATTATAGATATTATCAACATTATAGACATCACCATTTTTCAAAAGTTGTAAGTTTATTATATTCGATTAAAGATTGATTTTACCAATCCATGTTGATCCTTTGTTTTAGACTTTCTAACTCTGAAATTTTGAAAGCAAAGAAGGTACTCTCCACATTTTTCGGAACAGTACCTTTGAGGAATCTGTTTGAATAAACAGGGCGACATCTAGTCTAGTTCTTTAAGACTTTTTCTTTCCAGAATTATATTCTCCAGAAGTCTCATCAAATTCATTGAAAAAACTATCTTCTGAGACTTCTTTCAGCTGATAATAGGGTGAGTTCAAACTTGATCAAACTAGTGATCTGTTTGTTGTTTGAGACTTCTTTTTCTTTCTGGATTTTGAATTTCCAGGGATCTCGTCTTCATTAACATTTGAAGTTTCTGAATCGTTCGAGCTTGAAATGTCAGCCTGAGCAGCACGTAATTCCTCAGAAAAAAGTAAATACTTAAACTTCTTTTTGCTTTTGCCTGAAGCTGTTGGTCTATTAAAGTTACATTTGCCCAGATCAGTGTTTTTCCTCTGATACTTTTTGTTTCCAGAAATTATTTTTTCAGTCTGATTCAATTCGTAATGAAAAGTATTGATACTTCTTCTCTTTGGCTTCGAGATTCCCCTTCGTATCTCTTATTGTCTTCCACATTTTTCATAAAGCAACATTTGATAACCTGCTTCATTTTGACTGTCCGCTTTCGTTGTGTATCAAATATTCTAGAAACATCACTTTGTGGACTTTTTTTCCGATTTCAAAGCCAATAATAGAGTCACTATTTTATTTCAGTTAAAGTTAACTTAGGTATTATTGTTTCCATTAATTAGCTCAAATTAAATCAATTATTGCTTATTATCATATTATCCCACTTCTGACGTAAAATTGTCGCGGGTTCCGTGAGTCCACTGAAAACTCACTCTAATTACAATAATTAATAATTAGCGAACTAATTTCTAAACTTAGGTATTCAGGAAGTCTCTAGAATCATCTAAAATGTTCGTTTATTTAAAGTAAAATACTCCAAAAATCAAAATTTGCGTACAATAGCATCGCGAAACAGTTATTTCAGATCATAATGGGAAAGTTTGAGAAACCATGATTCAAATTAAGAGGAAAATACGAAATATATTTTGACACACTAGTGCACTAATAGAAAAGTGATTAATTAATTGACACTCTGTCATAAACCTTTTTAAAATAGGTATAAAAACAACTAGAAAAATGTAGAATGTTCTTCGACAACTGAAAAAATGGCAATAAAAGGTAAAAATCATGTTTTGAAGATATTGCTGAAAACTTTCTTCGATTTTGAAATTAGCCCAAGAAATTTATGGGTTTTTCAAAAAAATTTGCGAGGGCAGGCTGATTTTTTCAGGGCTGATTGGAGACTGTGTCCTGAGTATTGAGTCAAAAAATCACACTCGAAAGCCTTGTGCGTTCGGCCCTATTGGCCTTTTTCTTATTTATTTTTTTTCGACAAAATGACCTTTACAAAACTTATAGACAATAACATTCCTGATCAACTTTGCCTCATGCCTTTTTTTGCTAGCTATTTTAGTTTAGGCGTTGGGGCCATTTTTCTAGTGCTCCAGAATTCGCAAAAAAAATAAATAGCTACCCAGCAAACACGGAAAGTCAGCCGCTGCGCAAAAACTGTGATACTGTGCTGTACTTGTTGTACAGCGATGTAGATGAAGCAGCTGCATCAGCCCGGATCATATATGTCCCACCGGCCTGCATCTGGCGCTGCACTGTTCATGCTGCATTTGAGTACAGTCACTGTGCAGTAGCTCTGCCTCTTCATTAAGGAATTTTTACACAGCAATAACGCAGCGTTCTTGAAGACGTCGTACATATTTGTTTCGCAATAACTGTGCAGCCAATATACCGTTTAGGTATCTTTACTTGTGGCACTCTAAATTTAATGGACATAATTTATTTTATATAGACAGGATGATATTTTTGAAAAATGACAAAACAAATTAAAGTATATGGAATATATTAAGGAGTGGGACAATAAACAATAATATTCCTTATCCTTAACCATATTTTGGTGGCTTTTTCAGCTTCTGATTGAGACGCATTCTGACTGGCTTTTTTTTCTTACATCGACTAAATAAGGACAAAATTTAGTTAAAATTTAAAAACCGTTATACCTTGCATCAACTTACCTAAATTGCTTTATTGATGTTGATAATATAGGTATATTCTGAAAATTGTGCTTTTTGAAGGCGCCCTGTCCAGTTCAGCTGAGGAGTTGAATTTTTAGATAATAATCTGGCTAATATGTTCCTACATACTTCTTCAGTGTTTTTTCCCCTAGTATTCCAAGACTATTTACCTGAAAGATTATTTCTCTTTTGTAAATCCATTTTTTAAATCACAAAAATAGAAAACGGAAAACGGGGGCAAATAGAAAAACGATAAAAAAACTTAGGTTATGATAATACGGGGGCCTTTGTTTTTGTTTATTTGTATCAATTTTTCATCTACGTTGTTTCCACTTGTTGAAAATAATGCATCTTGTACACGTAGTAATACAAATCACAGGTGAAAAACACCACAAAAATTATAAATCAAAAACGCTGCCCTGCATCACAGTGAAACAATACAATACAATAAAATAAAACAAAATGGCTACGCTCACAACTCTACGGCAAAAAATACTGTGCTCGCGCAAATAGGCACATTTCTTTACAGTAACTGCACTAACATTTTACAACAGTTGTTGCATCAATATGCGCATGGGAGATCCAAATAATCTATCGCTTTTCCAATACAAAATCCGCAAAGCCGCTGCATATCAAATACTGCACTTCTAAAATACAGTATTCCCAATACAAGTGCTGCGCAGCATTAATAAAACTATTTATGCGCTGTATTTGGGCTGTGTTCGTGATACAGCAACATTACAGTGCCGATAAGTTGTGTTTGTTGGGTAACCTGCAGATTATTGTAACTTTAATAAAATTACTGGTAATGTATTCCATTACGTTTTCGGTTTCAGTCCAAGAAATGATACATTACATCACTAATCCGGTGAAATTATTTTCCCGGAGTGAAATCGTGAAATCGTGAAAAGTGACAAAATGTTTTTCTTTTTCTACAATCGGCCTAGAAAGTAGACTTTGTCGATTAGATTTGTGCGCGCAAAGTAGACGTTTCCTGAGACCTCCACTTTGCCGCTTTGAGCGTCAAACTACGTCAAAATCCTTCACTTTGTCGCTCTAGAGCGGCAAAGTAGTAAAAGCGCTTGCTTTTACTACTGGTTTCTTTGAACCTGGACTATTTTTTATCAAATGCGATTGTAAAAAAAATCAAGTGTGCATCTGCCAATATCAACAATATCTTTCGATCGGCAAAGTACCACTTTGCGCTCTTAATACACAAATAGCTATTGTGCAACCGTCCGCGAAATTCAATTTCGCGAAACGTCACATTTTAGCTGCAAAATGTGTCAAATCCTTAGAAACGCTATGCATGCCACAATGTCCACCAAGTCAAATAAAAAATTTCAAATGCCTAAAAGGCCGTACAAGCGAAAGAAATAAAGTTACAATAAAATATCATCAAGCAAAGTAATAAGGAATTTTATTAGGTATATTAATCTGCAGGTTTGTTTTTTAATTTTTTTGCGAATTCTGAAGCACTAAAATGGCCACAGCGCCTAAAGTAAAATAGCTAGCAAAAAAGTCATGAAGCAAAGTTGATCAGAATGTAATTATCTACAAGTTTTGTAGAGGTCATTTTGTCGAAAAAAAATAAATAAGAAAAAGGCCAATAGGGCCGAACGCACAAGGCTTTCGAATGTGATTTTTTGGCTCAATACTCAGGACACACTCCCCAATCAGCCCTGGAAAAATCAGCCTGCCCTCGCAAAATTTTTTGCGGCCCAGGTATAAATTTCTTGGGCTAAATCCACTTTCCACCATATTTTAGCTGCTGTCACAAAAAATCCATCATTTAGGCAACCTATACTCAGAGAACACATTTGAGTTGCAAAATACTCGATTGAACCAATTTATTATTTATTCAGTTCCACCCTTCATTTTATCAAACCACAAGATACCATCACTGAATACTGAATATCAACTTTCATTTTTTTGAAAAATAAAAATCAGTGATGGAATGATTAATGATTATTGATTACGATTATGAATATACTATAAGCCATTACCTACTACGATTGTAGTTAATTGACACACAAAAAATTTGAAGATATACCGAGAAAACATCAAATAAACTTTGGTGAAGGATAATGTGATAAAAAATAAAAAGAAAGAACCTTGTTATAAATAATAATTTGATTTTTGATGAAGTAATCGTATGAGGTAACCGTCAAAAAGTACCTATTAATCGTAATCTTAGCATTACTGTGCCTACTCAAGATCCCTTATCCAATTTTAGTATTAAGTAAAAAAACAACGAACGCCACTGTTTTGGCCCTATATGAATATATTCCCTCTCAAAAACTACCCCCTCACGATTTAAGGCAATATATGAAATGTATTATGATTTAAGAAAAGAAAAAGGTTCTTGCCCAATTATTAAGCTGTGCATAGAAAGACATTATTTGTGAATAAATACGGATTTAGTTATCTAAGAAAGGGTTTTTTGTACATAATTTAATTATTATTATTATTAATTTGTTTTGAAGGCTGGCACTTCAAAGGTGGGGCAGAATTTAGAATGTTTATTTTTTATTTTTAATATATTGAATTTTAGTTTCTAAGGTTTATTTTTTTCTTGTGGTACCAGCCTTTAAAACCCATCCCCTCAGAATAGCTCAAATATTTATTACTTGTACAGGTTTTTTCTTATCACTTATGTATGAATCTCTACGTTTTTTTTTTCGGGTATAAATAAGTTCAGTTTAAGTTGTTTCTTTGGTGCAAATATTAAATATAGTTTATAGTTTAAGGACGCTATTTGCACTGATTTGAATCAGTGCAAGTAGTGGATAACCACTCATAAAACACATTTCCATTGTTGCTGTTGTCTGTGTTTGGAAACCAAGATTTTTTGGTTACCAAAAATCATCATCATTTAATTAAATAATTGGGACTTGGGAAAACTATTAATTTCTACTGTTCCTAGGTTTATCAACTTAATACATGCAAATCACGGAATAAAACATTTTGATAGACCTTACGGAAAACCTAAAAACACAAACTTCACTCAACATTTCGCTTGTAGGTTCGACATTTCTTAGTTTGCCCATGAAATTTTTTTGACCAATTTTTTAAGGATAATATTTTCTATAACTTGCCGAAATCTTTTCATGTATGATTTGACACTGTAAGACATTATACTACTCAATTTGAAGTATTTTGACGCACTGGGAATGTAAGACTTTCAAGCTACCTTTCAGCTCTTGAAGTGGTATTGTTTTGAATACATTATCCCAGCTTATTTTGGGACAGCAATTCATTCAATCACTCAAGTCAATCACCAACGTTTCGACGCTGAATCTGTGTTATCTTCGGGGCTAAACTAGTAAGTGAATGATTATTCAGATCTCTTGAGATTACACACATTTATAGTGTCGAAACGTTGTCAATAGATCGCGCACTATAGAGGAACTTGAACAAATACAAAAAATGTTAATTTGAAACCACAAAAAAATCTGCTTTTTGTTGAAGCGTTACTGATTTTCCAAACACTCAGTAGCAAGTCCCTGATAATTTTGCTCATCTCAATTTGTTACATTAGTTCCCAAACTTATATTGTCTGTATAGGTTTTTACAGGATGTATACGGAAAAAAAAAATGGTTAAAATTACGTTTTGGTTACTTGCCAAAGGTTTTAATGTTGATTTGTGCAACAAAAAAAAAGTTTTTTGGGTTTAGCCTTTAAGTATGACAGACAAGCTTTAAAAAAAATTGTTAGTTAAGTTTATATTATATTAATATTATTTTTTTTTGTACAATAAAAATTACTTCCTTTGTATGATCAGCTTGTGATGTAATTTAAATACAATATTTAAGTTGAAACTATATTATTACAAAAAAAAAAACATAAATAAATATCGGTTTTCATTATTTTCTTTGTTAATTTTTATTAAATAAAAATTACTTAAGTATTCATTTCCCCTTGATAGATTATTTTGTTTTATTTATTTCTTTTTTTCCAACTAATTAACTTAATTTCATTTCACACCATATTTGTATCTGTGATATTTTTTCGTACTGAAATATGGTAAATAGTCAATTTGTATATAATGGAACGTAGTTAAGAATATTTCGATTTGAAAGAAGAAGGACCCATTTTTAAATTTTAAAGAAACTGAACATAAAATATATTGTTATTATTCTATGTCTATAATTAATTAATTAAACAACTACTACTAATAACTATTAGGGTAAAGAAAAACAAGAAAAATATTACTTAATAAGTGTCGTCGTACTGTATCATCACCTTATAATAATAAAATATTTTTCTGACATCATCTTTTTTGGACACTACAACGAATTTTTTCCAATATACATTACATTTCTATCTAGTTTTTCCCATAATTATTATCTATATTTTTTTTACACTTAGAAACGTCCCTTATATTGTTAGAAAAAAAAACAAGATTTTTCTGAGCACACATCTAGAAATAATAATATTTCGAGTTATTGGTGTATTTGAAATTTAATGTTATAGTATGTTTACTGAATGTAAGAAATAAATTAAACTTATAAATAAGGAGTATGTTTTAATTTTTCAAATAATATCCCTAAAAATATCAGAATGATGTTTGCCTAGTGATCAGAAACTTATTAGACTCGGAGTCAATATAAAAAAAGACTCCGAATAAAAAGCTTACAGTTTCAAATCATCCATTCATTATTAGAGTGGTAACATTAATCTGAAATCTTGATGAATTTTGAAATTTTCTAAATTTTCAAAATCGTCTCAATCCCGCTCTTAATAAAATTTACTCAGACGCCATCTATTGGTCCAAAGGGGAACCTAAGCCATTACTCACTGATGAAAATACAGTTGCCTATAAATGCCTGTAGCTTTAATACAGAGTACAGTGGCTAAATAAACCTTTACATACAGTGGCGACAATAGAGGTCCCGCCGCCATCTTGTTCCCAACCTCTTGTTACTTTTAAATATTAATATATAGGATTTAAATGAACATCTATCATAAAAAATTGAAATTGGACGTATTTGATGACCATTATCAGGTCCATCAAAAACGTGTTTTCCATGATTTATGATAGATGTTCACCTAAATCCCATATATTCACATTTAAAAGTAACAAGAGGTTGGGAACAAGATGGCGGCGTTTTCAATATAAATATATGGGATTTTAGAACCAATCAAAAATGAAACAGCAATTGTCGCCACTGTGGGTAATAGAGTCACTGTAATACAGAGGCGCGTTCTCTTCTCTCGAGTCGCGGTGGTCTGCCTGTGACGTCATCATTATCAGCTGGAGTGCGTTTAGAAATGGTATGGTATGTGAAGGTAGAGTATTTGTTCGTCAGAGTGTTCTGACGTCATCACTTGGAGTGCACTCTGGGTGCGCCGTTTCTGAACGTAATTGGGGTGTTGCGCTAAATGTCAACGTCAAACCCGGTGAAAACCTTGGGGCGTTTTTCAACCCAGTCCCTGGGGCGAGTTCAGGAATGACACACCCACTGTGAGTGTGACACCGGTGCGACGCCCTAGGTGTTCAAAAATGCTAGATGGTGCTGTTAAAACTCTCGCTAAAATACGCCTAAGGGCCTAATGGCCAAATGTCAATTCGGGAACACCCATAAAATCGCACTCGCACCCTGTGCGTTATTTCTGAACTCGGCCCTGTGTGGGATAATTTGGGCGCACTCTGGGCACGTCAACTCTCGATTTCTGAACGATTCCAGCGTAACGCTCCGAGTAAGCACCTGTTAATTTATGAACGGTTTAGAGCTACTCTAGGGTCACTCTCACACCCAGAGTGTTATTTCTAAACGCAACCCTGCTAAAAGTGCCACCCACAAAGTACAAACCTTGATAAAATGCTTGCGATTCAGGCTGTGCATGTGAGTCAACTTTTTTGGTCGATTTTAAGGCCTAGTTGTAAGGATTATAGGCGCAAGGAGGATTGTCAAGTGCCGATACCCTTGTGACGTCACTACAGATGCGCGTTGCCATTCGTCCTTACCCCGACTCATACGCTAAGCCTGTTGAGGGGAATTCTTTAAGAAGTTTCACTTCTACCAAGTGTACGGCACTGCACATGTTTTTTTTTTGTATCTATAATTTGTTAAATTAATATGTAAGTAGTATGGAAGAAACAATAGTGAATTTCTTCATACATGAAGAATGACTGTGCCTTAACTTCTTCATAAAAAAATTCACAACGAAATAATTTCAATTGTTACATAATAGCTAGGTCTGTTCCGTTCCCACCGATGACATCGTTTCAACCAGCAAAAAAACCGTCCCAAGAACGATTTCGGAACCAGTCTCCGTGCGTTCAGTACTTTGATCTGAGTTTTCCGAGCTTGAATTTACCGTTCGTTTATTCAAAAAGTGTACTCGGTGCAGGCTCATTCGTGTTCGTGTATTAAAATATCGGGCACTCTGACACAGCGTTGAGCTGCTCTATTCGCTCGCTGGTCACGTGACTAAAGATTGGGTGGATTAGATTTAGCTTTTTTTCATCTTTTAATTCACGCACTGCTCAGCACGCTCTGCTCTTTGAGCGAAATACCGAACGCAAGTTAAGTAATTCCTGTAGGTGTGTACCATCCTTGACCCAGTAGGCGTTTTCGACCCATTTTTCTACCTGCTGTTAAGGTCTGAGGCAACCTCATGGAGCGACTATAAATTCGGCCTTCTCATCCAAACTTCGTTCAGTAAGTGGGGCGTTTGACAAGAACACTCCACCAAGTAGGATTGCTCATCCAGGTACGGTTTGTTAGGGCAGTACGCGACGCACATCTCAAATTCTGTCGAACGCCACACACGTCTGCCAAAATCCACCTAGTGTAAATTATATAGACCGGTTTGTTGGCTTTGCGCAGGTGAGCGCAACGTACAGCGTCAGCAGTGTGTCAATATCGTGTTAAACAGATTCTGCTGACGTTTACGTCGTGAGTTGTGCGTCGCGCATTGTTCTAACAAACCGTACCTTTATAAGGCGTACGTTCGGCAGTTCTCGAGTCGGCAGCTGGTCAGTGGGTGACGTCACCTCTATCAGTAGCTGATAGAAGTGAATGCTTGCGATTCAGACTGTGCTTGTGAGTTAATTTTTTCATCGATTTTAGATCTGGCATAAGTAATTTCAACGTTAAGAAATTCGTGGTTTTTTTGACCTATAGTGTTTTAAATTCGGATAATGCATTTTACGCTAAAAGTTGAGGTCTGCGGCTGACGTCACATTAGTGAGGAGTTGTCGCGTGGAGATGACAGACACTTTCAGCTCAATAAACAGTCGCAAATGCAAAAGCGGCAGTATGCTTTTTAGGCTGGGTAATTGCATCTGCGTCCTGCGAGCAAAGAGAGCAAATTTTGACGGTCGTCCACGTGATCACTTATCTTTTTTCACGTGTCAAATCACGTGAATTCTGTCAAATTTTGCTAATTTTACTCGCAGATGCAATTACCGAACCCAGCCTTAGTTACCGAACTAGCAAAGTGTAGAAAAGCCATTGGAAACGTGCTTTTGGTATTTTCTGAGGAGCCTTTTTCTTTCCTGTTGACCGAAATCGTTGAGACTGTCAAACTATAAAGAGAGATAAAAGTAGCTTCAAAATGGGACAGAAAGCTACGCAACCTCCACTACCGGGTTACGGGCGTTACGGCGCCAAGGATAATACATACTACTACTACAGAGTACAGGATACACTATCCTCATAAGGCCTGTCTAGTTCAAATCTCAAGCCCCTCACCATTCCAAAGCACTAGTGATACACCACAGGCTATGAATCCGCATTCCGCGCGGGCTTTTGCTTAAGCTTACTTCTCATGCATCCGATTTCCGTCAATCGGATGATCCTGGCGCCAAAATATTGGACCAATAGGAAATAAGATTGTTGGAAAAACGGATGCATGAAAAGTAGGCTTTATTATGCATACCCTCTTGGTTTCACTACATTAATTAACATTCTAAAACAACTCTTTTTTTAGATCTCGTTTGCATCTTCCTCTTTGCCTGTCATGTTGATCAAAATTAAATAATATTTTTCATCATAAATTTAAATTCTAAACTACGACCGCTGGCGCAAACAGCTAACGACTTAGTTAATGACGTTGACAATGGTGCTACACCAATATGGCCGCGATTACCAAAAACGAGGCCAATAAGCAATCATTAGAGTAGTGTGGACCTTGGGGACAGTTAGGGACGTTAGGGTGTTGATAGCTTTAGCGCCATTTTACGCCGTATAGCCTCCGTGAACAGTTGGACTTTGATTTCGCTCGAGCTATTTTGGTTGTTTTCTTGTTTATTGATTGTTGCTGTTGTTCATTGATTTTTGTGGAGTTTTTGTTGAAATACCAACAAACATTTAAGCTTAGTAGTCACCGCGAATTGTGGATTTTTATTTTGCGGATTTTTTCCTATTGGTCGATCATATTTAAATATGACAGGTTTAAATATATTCGACCTATGCATCATGGATCTACGCGAGCCAATTTTTCCCGAAAATAACCAAACATAATATTTTGCTGGACTATGTGATATGTCATTTATGTCATACTCCCCTAACTGCTCCACCATCAAATTCTGAGATACTGTGAGAACAGACCGAAAATCATCTTTTCTATATTTAAAATCGACGAAAAAATTAACTCACTAGCACAGTTGAATCGCAAGCATTCCATCGAGGTCTGCGGGTGACGTCATCACTAAAATTTAATAATAGTGACGTCACTCGCCTGACGTCACATAACCCAGCACAGACTGAACTTTCGAGACGAACTTCTAACATGATTTCATGAATACAAACGCTTTCACGAAAAACTCATGACGTCATATTAATCGTAGTTCGACGGAAGCATGGACGCAGCTTCTATCCAGCGTTCAAACTCATGACATCACAGACGAAGTACCACACCCCTTGTTTGCCCTGAGGTCGGTATTCTCGTTCTCGAAAACGCCTACTGCTTTGTAGTCGCTCGACACTTTCAATGTAAATTCAAGAACGAGAATACTGGCCGGGCGCACAGTAGAATGTCAATTGTCATTGAGGCGCAGTTTGCGTATGACGTCACGATATTCCATTTACACTCATGATACTAAACTACTAAAGATCGCTTATCGCCTTGTAATCGCCCTCGTTTTTGGTAATCGCTGCCAAATTGGTGTATCACCATTGTCGACGTCATTAACCAAGTCGTCAGCTGTTTGCGCCAACGGTCGTAGTTTAGAATTTAAATGTATGATAAAAATTATTTAATTTTGATTAACATTCAGAAAACACTCTTCTACCGAACTGAATCTTCTCACTTATGTGGACATCCTGACGAGCGCCTTGGATAGAGGTGAAGAGGTGCACTCTATTTACACCGACTTCTCTTTAGGCGTTCGACGAGTGAGCCACGAAGTCTTAATTAAGAAACTAGAGATTTTGGACGTTTGAGATGCTCTCATGTAATGGATGAACAGCTATATCACAGGTAGGACTCAGATAGTACACCTTAACAACTTTACATCTTCTCAAATCCTAGTATCATCAGGCTTCCCCAGGGTTCGCACCTGGGCCCCCTACTATTTAACATCTATATCAATGACATTTCATGTTGTTTTAAGCCATAGTCTTTTTTTTTCTGATTGCTGATGACTTGAAGCTGTTTCTGGAAATAGCCACTCAAGACTCTTTGGCTAAGTTCGGCTTTACACTCTGTAAACTCTGAGCGCGCTCGATACGATAGGATCCTGTTCGTTTTAGCTCTGAGTTTTTTTTTTTTTTTTTTCGCTGGGCTTATGACCGCGTATGACGGCACGATATCCATGCTCATACCGTTTCGTCCGTTCCGCTCTGTGCATTGCAAAGCTGAACTCAGCCTTTAGCACATCAAGAGGATCTTGATGGCACCATCCTAATGGCTTGCAAAGATGATACACACCTACAGGATTGCTTATCGGCCTCGTTTTTGGTAATCGCCGCCATATTGGTGTGTCACCATTTCCGACGTAATAACTAAATCGTCAGCTGTTAAAACAGCCCAACGATGATACACACTACTACTAAAGGATGGCCTATACTCATAAAGCTTAGTACTCATAACTGCGAAATTCGCATTTTTTTAACATTGCTTCGACAATTTGACGTTTGATACACGCATGAAACCTCAACTTGTCAACGCAATGTCAAAAAAATGCGAATTTCGCAGTTATGAGTACTAGGCTTAAGACATGTGTGTAATAAATCCCCTCTTTCCCCCCACTCCAAATTATTACAAGTTGTGACGTAGGCAACATGTTATTTCTCGACTTGACGTAGGCTGACGACTTAGTTATGACGTTGGAAATGGTATCACACCAATATAGCGGCGATTACCAAAAACGCGGCTGATAAGCAATTCTGTAGATATGTATCATCCTTGAAAACAGCCTACGTCAAGACGAGAAATAACATGCTGTCTATAGCCGCTTTCCAGCTGACCAGTTTGAGCACGCAATCGAGCTTTTGCGCGCCCAAATGCTTCAAGCGCGTGTTTGTGAAATATGTTTTTTTTTTTTTAAGATAATTCCCCAAGTCAAAAATTTAGTAACTATGTTGGGAACACAAGCCTTTTCTACATGAAAAATTTGAAAGCATTGACAATTTTACATTGTATTGCCAACCTAATGTCAGTTTGACTTTTATCTTTAAAAAAAAAACGCACTTTATTCCAGCCGTACTGCGCTTCGAGCGCTGCTAACTTTTGCGTTTCAAACACAGAACAGTGCTGCACCGTGCTTGAAGCACACAGCTGGAAAACGGTTTATGTCACAACTGGTGACTTGGCATGTGTCGTATATAATAAGTGACATAATCGTATATAAATATGTCAAAATAGAATGTTAAGCGGACATATTTCGACGGAAAAACGGATGCATGAAAATCCTCCCTTAAGCCTAGTACTCATAACTGCGAAATTCGCATTTTTTTGACATTGCGTTGACAATTTGACGTTTTATGCGTGTATCAAACGTCAATTTATCGAAGCAATGTCAAAAAAATGCGAATTTTGCAGTTATGAGTACTAGGCTTTAGGCCGGAGTCTCATGCATCCGTTTTCCGACGAAAGATATCCGAAAAATGTTCTATTTTGACATATTTTCATACGATTATGTCAGAATATAAGGTTTTTCGGACATATTTCGCCGGAAAACGGATGCATTGAGACTCCGGCTTTAGAGGCCTAGGGAGGGAGTTGGTTCCACACAGGCCTATGAAGATTGTTTATCCTGGGGCGAGTTCAGGAATGACACACCCAGTGTGAGTGTGACACCGGTGCGACGCCCCAGCTGTTCAAAAATTCTAGACGATGCTATGGGCCCAATGGCCAATTGTCAATTCAGGCACACCCATAAAATCGCACTCGCACCCTGTGCGTTATTTCTGAACTCGGCCCTGTAGTCGAGGCACCCCAGATGACGTCATACAAGCAACCTACCCTCTCTCAAACAACTTTTGGTTTATAACGTACCGTTTCGATGCGATCGAGGCGATCCGATGGAACTGCATCCACTTCGATCGGGCTCGCCAGTGTTTGATAACGCGATTTTCAAGTGGATGGTGGATGCAGTCCAATCGGATCTTCGCATCGAAACGGAACAGTAATTCGAGCAGGAAGAGTAAAGCCAAATGAAAACGTGATTTACTGTCATTTCGACAACTGACACTTGTGTTAAGTGTCACTAGAACTTTGGGGTTTGGCGCCAAAAAACTAATTATTTTCGTTTGTTCTCAACATTTGTGTTTGTGTAGCTACTTGTTGTCCTACTGTATCGGTTTTTCCATTTTAATTGTTTAGTTGGTTCTGTGAGTTTTAATTAGTAGTATAAATATCCGTTTGTAATCCTAATCATGGATGTAGCTGATGTAAATGCGGGGCACCGCCAGCACAGAGACGAAATCGGTGTTCGATGCCAAAAGTTGTTCCAGGATTTCTTGGAGGAGTGAGTACTTATCAAAATGTATATTTACCATCAACATTTTACACACTTTAGTAGTGTACTTTGCCCATAGACAATTTTCTACCAAGAAAAACTAACCCTATTTCAGATACAAGGAGGATGGAGATATCAAATACCTGGAATCAGCAAAAGAGCTCGAAAACGAAGAACGGAGCATCATCGAAATCAGCTTCGAAGATGTGGAAAAATATAACCAAAACCTTGCCACCACAATTATTGAAGAATATTACCGAATCTATCCTTATTTATGCCAAGCAGTTGCAAATTTTGTAAAAGACCGCACTGAATTGAAGAAAGAAAAAGAATGCTACATTGCTTTCATGGATGTGCCCACGAGGCATGTTGTCAGGGAATTAAAGACGGATAAAATTGGTACACTCATAAGGATTTCCGGACAAGTTATCAGGACACATCCTGTACATCCTGAACTGGTCACAGGTACTTTTTCTTGCTTAGATTGCCAAACGGTTATCAAAAATGTTGAGCAACAGTTTAAATACACAAATCCAACAATCTGCCGAAATCCTGTTTGTAACAACAGAAGAAGATTCATGCTAAACATAGACAAGTCAAAATTTGTCGATTTCCAAAAAGTAAGAATCCAAGAAACTCAAGCAGAACTTCCTAGAGGTTGCGTCCCAAGGAGTGTTGAAGTTATTCTAAGAGCTGAAAATGTTGAAAGTGTACAAGCGGGTGACAGATACGATTTCACCGGAACTCTGATAGTAGTGCCTGATGTTGGAAGCATGGCCTTACCAGGCGCCAAGGCTCAAATGGCCTCAAAACACAGACATGGGGATGATTCTGAAGGTGTTAGAGGCCTAAAAGCTTTGGGGGTTAGAGATTTACATTATAGAATGTCATTTTTGGCTTGCAGCGTACAACCCACAAATCCTAAATTCGGAGGCATTGAAATGCCTTTGGGTGATATTACTCCTGAAATTATGAGACAACAAATGACTGAAGGCGAGTGGAGGCATATGTATGAAATGTCTCATGATAAGAATTTGTATCAGAATATGATTAATAGTCTTTTTCCTAGTATACACGGGAATGATGAGGTAACTGAAAAGATTTGGTCAACAACTTGTGTTTTACTATAAAAATTTTAGGTGAAAAAAGGAATTTTGTTAATGTTGTTTGGGGGAGTATCAAAAACAACAAAGGAAGGTACCTCTTTGAGAGGGGACATTAATTGTTGTATTGTTGGTGATCCTAGTACAGCTAAGAGTCAGTTTTTGAAGCAGGTTTCTGAGTTCTCGCCAAGGGCTGTATATACTTCTGGTAAAGCTAAAAAAAAATATATATCAAAGATAATGTATTACTTTTGCCTAAACAGGTAAAGCCTCTACTGCTGCTGGTTTAACTGCTGCAGTAGTAAAAGATGAAGAATCTTCAGATTTTGTTATTGAAGCTGGAGCTCTTATGTTGGCTGACAATGGAGTGTGCTGTATTGACGAATTTGACAAAATGGACCTTAGAGATCAAGTTGCTATTCACGAAGCTATGGAACAACAGACCATATCAATTGCCAAAGCAGGTATACCGAAAAAAAAAATAGATCCCGCACACTTCTTATGGGATTTTTGGCCGTGGTCAAATTTAACCAAATTTTAGTTTTTTTTTTTAAATTCTTTATTAAACAAGATAAATTTACAATTTCAATAAATATTACACATTTAATCAGTGGTGAACGCACTGGTCTTAAAATTGCTTATGTATGTTATAGTATAGATATCACCTTTTTGATCAATAACTACCATGGGCACAACTTAGGGCCAGTATTATAAAGCTGGTGAACCGAAAGTTGAGTTTCAACTAGTGGTCAAACTGACATTTTCGTATGATTTTATATGGACATATCAGTTCAACTGCTAGTTGAAACTCAACCTTCGGTTCAAATCAAACAAATCAAATTATGCTTTATTGTCTTAACTAAATTGTTATTGACAAAGCAGCCTTATTAATTAACATCACTACTTATACCACAGTTCTCGCCACAGTTTATACTATGTCATAATCATAACATGAGAAAAAAAAATTAAATGCCAAAAAAATTACATTACAACAATACTGTTCCTATCACAATCTACCATTGTTATTGCCTTAAAAACTAAAAATCAGTAGTTTTCAGTCGTCTTTAAAAAATAAAACAAAAATAAACTAAAAAAAAAAGACAACGGAGTCAGAAGTTTGAACAATAAAACAAATTAACAACTATAACGCACACTATAAACAGAACAATCCGGAAAAATATCTAAAACCTGTCCGTTAATTTTGTAATATGTCTTTTGAGCAAGCAGCGCCTTGACGCCTTTACGAAACTGTCGTTCAGTCTTTCATTTGTTTAAAGGGGGTGTGACCCAAAAATGAAAGTTTTAGTGCAAAAAAATCTATGAATAAATATTTAAACTGCTTCCTGCTACGATGGTCCGTTTTCGAGTTAGGGCGGTTTAAAGTTACAACTAGGTGTTTGTAACGTCACACTGGATTATCAGGGACAGTATTACCATGTGTAAGAATTTTCCAAAATAAAAGATAATTATCTCCTAGAGCGAATTGCAACCACTCAAAGTATAGGGTACGGTTCACTGACGACTGAACAAACAGAAGACTGCGGTTTGCGACATCACAAATTCCTGCATAATTTATCTTCACAAGGAATTTTCTCGGAGACTTTTTCAAGTATAGGACTGCGGTTTCCACAAGAGATCTTAGAATTTTTTTCTTGATTTGAGTAGCTTAAGTTGTTTTTTAGGGTCACACCCCCTTTAAGACCCGTCGGCAAATGATTGAACAACTTGCGACTTCTGAAAATGATAGTGTCTGTTACCTGGCTGGACGTGGGTATAGGAAGGCTAACATAATTTTTCTGTCGAGTATTATAGGTTGTATGCGATATGAATATACTGCTTTTGTGTTTCCTGTGAATTAAGCAGACCGATTCTAACACAAATAATGCAGGAAGAGTCAAAATATTTTTTAGAAATAAATAGCGGCCTGCAAGAATCGTGTGGGTTGGCTCCACATAAATATGTAATTGCTCTCTTCTGCAGCAAAAGAATGCCATCAAATAACTGCTTAGAGCAAGTACCCCAAAAACACAGCCCATACCTCAAATGAGACTCTATCAGAGCAAAATAAGTATTTCTGGCAATACATGGTTCCAGTTCCCTAGAAATAACTGCAAGTGCAAAACAATTAGATGCCAACCTATTCCTCAAACACTTCAAGTGTGCTTCAAATTTCAGACGATTATCTATCCAGAGACCCAAAAATGTATTTTCCACAGATGGAGTTAATAAACTGTCATTCAGACAGATGTCAGTAAGCACAGATTAATCACACCTATGTCATTACTGACCGTATCCTGTAATCTAGAGCTGTCAGGATTATGCCATAGAGAAATATAATAGTAGTAAACTACGAGAGAAGTCATTCCCCTGTACTTAACTGGCACAGTGTCGACGTTAGCGCCTCTGGTGGCTACGGACAGCAATAAAAGAGTGAACATTGTTTAAATGCAGGTTTCTTCTTTATCGACAGTGAAAAGGCGGCTTTTTTGAATAATCAAATTATTTACTTTGATATTATTTAAGATTCATTAAAAATAAAGTACTGTAAACGCTCAAAACAGTTAATTGCAAAGCAAAACATTTGTTGAAGAACTTGCTAAAATTTACCGAGCAACTGTTTAGAACGATAACAGAACTTATTTTTAAAAAATTCAAATTAGATGCAATGAGATTCCTTAAGGGGGTCAAGGAGGTAATTGAACAATACAAAAATTGAGATATCTTTAAACAAACTTATTTTTTTATTCCAATTTTATAAATATACAGTAACTAATAGTATATTGTTGTATTAGGAGTAGAAGCTTTACTTTTTTGTGCTGAAGCGGTAGGTTTGCAAGCCGAACGTAGTGAGGCTCGCAATACTGCTGAAGCACAAAAAAGTGCTTCTACTCCGTATGCAACACGCTATTTTTTCTCCAAACGAATGGGGTAAGCTCGGGGGCAAGTGAATGGTTGAGCGGCAGTAAAAGTACGAGCGGCACTAAAAGTACGAGCGGCACTAAAAGTACTTCTACTGCCGCTCCAGCGGCACTAAAAGTACTTTTGCTGCCGCTGGGGTTGCCAAGCAGCATAGAAATTAAATTTCTACCACCTCGACAGGTGTTAACCCGCTGGATTTGCATAGCAGCATAGAAATCAAATTTCTGACATCTTGACAGGAGTTAACAAAGTGACGTTTTTCTGACGTTTGGAGAAAAAAATGTTTTTCTCCAAACGTCAAAAAAATGTCACTTTGTTAACGCGTGTCAAGGTGTCAGAAACTTAATTTCTATGCTGCTGGGCAAATCTAGCAGGTTAGCACCTGTCGAGGCGGTAGAGATTTAATTTCTATGCTGCTAGGCAACCGCACCGGCAGTAGAAGTACTTTTAGTGCCGCTGGAGCGGCAGCAAAAGTACTTTTAGTGCCGCTCGTACTTTTACCGTCGCTTAACCATCCAGTTACCCCCGAGCTTACTCCATTCGCTTGGAGAAAAAATAGCGTGTTGCATACGGAGTAGAAGCACTTTTTTGTGCTTCAGCAGTATTGCAAGCCTCACTACGTTCGGCTCGCAAACCTACTGCTTCAGCACAAAAAAGTAAAGCTTCTACTCCTAATACAACAATATACTATTGTATTATAAGCTTTGTGTTTACCTTTTTACTGCATCTCGCATCATCGCAAATTCAAAAACACACTATTATTGGTGTCGATCTTGTCTAATTAATTAATATTTATGATCACAGAATGTTTTCTCTAATATATATAATAGAAGAAATTTTAAGTTATGATGATGAGCATTCAGTTTTTGATTGATGGTCTTCGGATTCAATCATAGACGATTCAATAATTTGTCAAATTTTGACAATTTTGTATTTTGTATGTGTTAAAAAAAGATAGAACATTTTCGGGCAAGTTGCTGACAAAGACAAATTTAACCGAGTTGTCAGAAACGATCGAAGTAATTAGTTCAATAATCTGCCACACCATGCGAAATACGCTACGTGTATGTGCACAAACACACTTCCAGATTGTTACATTAAACAAACGTCTCTCGTAGTTTACTACTATTATATTTCTCTATGGATTATGCCACAATATTGTTGCGTCATCAGCAAACAAAGTAAAATTTCCAGAGATATCAAAGCCTGCGAAGTCGTTGACATATAACAAAAATAAAACTGGACCCAAAACAGAACCCTGAGGAACGCCACAATTCAACACTTGTTTGCCAGACATTGAACCATCAAAAGAGACCCTCTGTGTCCTGCCTGACAAATAACTCTCGAACCAGTTGAGAGCGCTTCCTCTAAATCCGTATGATTGCAGCTTCCACAACAATTCACCAGCTTGATAATGGCGGTTTTACACCAAACCGACTAGTTGAGTTGCTGTTCAAAAAACAAAAACTCAACTATTTTTACTGATAAAACTGTTCACACTTATAAATATTATAAAATAATGAACACCCATCTACTTTCTGAAATGAACTAAACAAAACTGCAACTGTTTCTCTGATATAAAACGACAGAAAATAAAAACTGGACAGCAACCAGCAACTCATTTTTATCTGCTTAGAGTGAACAGTTTTATCATTAAAAACAGTTGAGTTTTTGTTTTTTAAAACAGCAACAAAACAACAACTCAACTAGTCGGTTTGGTGTAAAACCGCCATAATACTGACCCTTAATCCTATGACTACACCATTTCAACCTCAATTTCGGAAAAAGTAACTTTTATTTAAAATCTGTTTTTTTTTTTAAAGATAATTCCCCAAGTCAAAAATTTAGTAACTATGTTGGCAACACAAGCCTTTTTTACATGAAAAATTTGAAAGCATTGACAATTTTAGATTGTATTGCCAACCTAATGTCAGTTTGACTTTTATCTTTAAAAAAAAAACGCACTTTAGGAAAATGTAAAATTAATTTTGGAAAAAGTAAATTCAAATGCGGGAAAAGTAAATTCAAATTTGGTAAAAGTAAATTCAATTTCGGAAAAAATACATTCAATCAAGGAGAATGAAATGTTATTTTTATAGAATAATTTGAATTGATTGAGTCATTTATCTATTTAGAAAATCCAAAAAATTGTCTATATTTCTCAAAGAGACCCGATTTTTAAACAATAAAAGAAAGAAAAAAATCACCACATCTACAGATTGTTTATTATTTTATCTGCGACCTGCACAATAACTGACTATTATGTCACTAATTTTTGCTCATTTGTGTTATGTAATGAGCCCTATTACAGCACTACTGCAATAATGAATCATAACGCGTTCATTATCGCATTAGTGCGGTAAGAGGTCATTATTTTTAATGTAACTACACAATCGAGTACACAATAGTTATTTAGAATAGGCAAACGACAATAGTCACCTATTGTGCAGGTCGAAGATAAAATTTTGTATATCACATGTACGGTAAGGCTCATTATAACACTCGTGTGGTTACCACGACTCGGTCTACGACCTCGTCGTGGCAA